GTCCCGGGGGGATGCAGGGAGTTCCCCAGGTTGTTCTCTGTCCAGTGAACCCCGTGAGCCGCTTTGTAGGTGTTGTAGTTGACGTGGTCATGGACGGCCGGTAACACCACCGACCCCTCACCTGATACCCCGGTTGGTGTCACCGTCGGTGGTGACGTCGGTGGCGCCGTCATGTCCTCATCTACCTGGATGATCTCCACCGTCCGGGCGGCCGTCACCGTGCTCCGTTGTTGGTGACGTTTCCGGAGTTTATAGAAGACGATGAGCATGGCGGCTGCTAAAAGAGTGACGGCCACGAAACAACCGATGATGATCTTGGTGGTCTTCATCACTTCATCTAAACTAGTTTGCATCTTATCACCCGAATCGACGGCGGTTGGGATGACCACCTGCTTAGGTGTCCTAGTAGTTTGAACCAAAACGGTGGTGGTGGTGGTATAAGCTGGTTGATAACCAGTTGAGGTGGTAGGTACTGGTTTGGTGAACTTAGGGGAGATATCTTCAGGGGAGATCTCAGTGGTCTCTACAGTCACCGTGGTGAAGAAACTGTAGTTGGAAGTGTTGAGTTCGGCCGTGCTAACGTTGAGGTAAGCCGAAGCGTTGGAGTTCCCAGCCACGTTGGTCACCATACAGGTATAAACCCCAGTGTCCGTCAACAAGACGTGGGAGAAGTTCAAGGTACCATCGTTGAGGACGGTGATCCGTGGGTGGTTGGAAGCGTGACTCAACACCGTCCCGTTAGGTAACAACCACCTAACGGAAGACATGGAAGGAGTTCGACATTTGAGTTCGGCCACTCGCCCTTCGGAGATGTTGAGATCCATCGGAGCGTCCATGATGAAAGGTGCAGAACATTGGAAAGAGGTTTGATCCACCTCCACCAAAAACTTACCCCTCATGTGGAGAGGAGCGTGACAACGCCCGCAGCAGGTCGAGTTGGTGGGGATGTATTCCCTCAACCACCAGGACAACCACAGGATGTCACAATCGCAATCCCAAGGGTTGTGGTGCAAGTGAAGTTCTACCAAATACCTCAACGGAGCGAAGAGGTCGTGGGGTAGAGAAGAAAGGTTGTTGTGGGCCAAGTTGAGTTCCACCAAGGCCGTCAGGTCGTCGAAGGCGTTCCTCTCGATCAAGTTGATCTGTGAGTTCATAATCCAAAGTTTTTTGAGGGATTTGAGTCCGTGGAAAGAACCCGGTTGAATTTCAGGGAAATTATTGCCTGACATCTCCAACTCTTCCAACCCTACCAAAGGAGTTAAGTTGGGCATGTCTTTAATGTTACACATCCCCAAGTTGAGATACTTGAGGTTGTACAACCCTTCGAAAGCCCCCTCGGAGATGTACTCCAACTTCTTCAGCTCCCCCAGGTCCAAGCGCATGAGGGAGGGTACCCGGTTGAAGGCGTAGGAGGGGATGCTCTCGATGGGATTGTTCCTCAACCACAACTCTCTTAATTTGGAGAGATATTCAAAAGCTCCACTGGGAATGACGGTCAACCAGTTGTCAAAGAGCTCCAAGGTTTTTTTTTGCAAAGCCGTTGAAAGCTCCAACTTCGATTTGTCGGATGGAGTTTCTACCCAACTGTAGAACTTCCAAGTGATGAAGGTGTCGGAAAGTATCAGCTTGAATCATTTGGATGTTGTTTTCCATGAGGTTGAGATATCGAGTGTTGGAAGGAATTCCAAGAGGAACTTCAGCCAAACCACGTCGGGTACAAACCACTTTGCTGAACTGGTTGCTACAGGAACAAACGGAAGGACAACTCTGAGGTCCAGGAGAAGCGGCGGCGACGTAAAAAATCCAAGCGTGTACCGTCAAGTAGGAAACCAGAGCAGCTCTCCAGGCGC